GAGCCGCGTGCGTCTACACCGGCCATGAGGGGCGCGGGCGCCTGGGCCGCGCTCTGCCTGTTGCTGGCCGCCGCCGCGCAGCTGTCGCGGCAGCAGCCCCCGGAGAGGTAACGCGACCCCCACCCGGGCTCCCTCCCTTCCTACCTTCCTCCCGCTCTCCTGCAGCCAAGCCCGCAGCTTCCTTGCAGCCGCGTCGGGGCGCCCAGGGAACCAGCGCGCGACCCCGCGCTCACCCGGGCTCTGGCGTCCCCCGTCCCCGCGCCGGCTGTCCCCGGGCCGGGTCCCGAGCCCCCCAGCTCCGCTTGCCCCCGGTCCTGCCGCTGGCCGGGCCACCACGTGGCGGGGGCTGGAGCTGACCTGCGCCTCTTCTTCCCTAGTGCTTATGCGGGCGGAGGGAGGCACTGGGGCCCAAGTCTGTGGACTTTGCTTTTTTACTTCTGTTTTCCTCTCCCGGGCGGCTCGGCCCAGAGACATGAAGCCTTGGGGAAAACGAGTCGCGCGGCGCGCGCGGGCAACCGCACGCCACCTCCATCAGAAAGTTAACTCTTCGCCACCTCCATCAGAGCTGAGGGAGGGCCCTGGTCCTGGACTGGGGGACCCACTTTTGGCATCCCCTCTTCCACCTCCATCACCAGCCACCTCCGTTTGTAAATGGGAGGCCCTGCCAATGGTCAATGAAATTCAGAAAAGGAGAGAAGTAGGCGTCTCTCCACATCTAGGAAATTAAAACTTTTTAATGTTAACCAATTGCTTGTTTATCCATTTCCCATTTTCCTATAAGCTCTTACCACTATGTGGAGGATTTGCTTATGGATGGATGGATAAATAGATGTTGTGTTACTAGGATGGAGACAGATGGCAACTGGACTGAATGTTTTATTAGGCTATAATTTAAATATTCTAAAAGCTAGCAAGTATTTCAAATCCCGTATATAGTGCAGGCATTTATTAATCAATATTAACTTTATCCATATTTAATAGGCTACACCTTTCTGAAGTTGACATTGGATTGTTAGACCCACTTTCAAATTAAGTGTCCTTCTTTTATTTTCCCAGACCTGTTTTCACATGTGGCGGCATTCTTACTGGAGAGTCTGGATTTATTGGCAGCGAAGGTTTTCCTGGAGTGTACCCTCCAAATAGCAAATGTACTTGGAAAATCACAGTAAGCATTTTTTTTTAAGGGTATTCTCCTGGAAGTGGGTATTGGAAACAGTGGAAGGCTGCTGCATTTTTCCTCTGGCGTAAGGATCTAGGTAAGGGGCGAGTGCCTGAAATAGTGAAATGTTGGATTTACCTCAACTATGTGGGAGATTTTTATTAATAGAACTAGTGGCATCCTGTGTTAGTGATTAGAAAGGGCACAAGATAACTGTTGAAGGAATAAATTCTTAAAGCAGATGTGTTTCTGAAAACTCATCCTGACTCAGTTGAGTTTCATAGATTGAAAATTAAGGCTGTTTTCAAAGGCCTGTTGTAATGACTTTTGGAATCCATTTGTTGCCTGTGCCCGGCATAAATGTCTCCTAGTGGAGAACAGAAGATCAAAGGTAATGCTCATCCCTGACTACTTTATACCCATTATGAGTAAAAGGGAAAAGAAAATGAAAAAAAAAAAAAATCCCACTTAATGTTCCTGATTTAAAACCACCACTAATGGCAATCTGAGAATAGAGAATAATAATAATTGTGGAATAGGGCAGTAAAGTCTAAATATCAAACAAAGGCTAATAAAATGCCCATGCTGGTTAGTAATGGCATAGATTATGCCAAGTCAAGATAAGCAGTCAGATTTCCAGACAGCCATCTTAAAAAAAAATAGTCTCGGGGCGCCTGGGTGGCGCAGTCGGTTAAGCGTCCGACTTCAGCCAGGTCACGATCTCGCGGTCCGTGAGTTCGAGCCCCGCGTCAGGCTCTGGGCTGATGGCTCAGAGCCTGGAGCCTGTTTCCGATTCTGTGTCTCCCCCTCTCTCTGCCCCTCCCCCGTTCATGCTCTGTCTCTCTCTGTCCCAAAAATAAATAAACGTTGAAAAAAAAAAATTAAAAAAAAAAAATAGTCTGGATTTAGAATCAGCTAGATTGAGTCATCTTTCCAGTCAGTATGATGGTGAGTCTTTTTCATTTTTTCGTTGTTGGGAAGTTGTTTAGTAATTGAACACATTAGTCCACTGAGACCTTTATTCAGTCAGATTGTGCCACAGGCTGATTATAATTTTTAAAGTAGCTCCCTCTTACTGAGCACTTACTGTTTCCTAGACACTATGCCAAGTAGTTAACTCACATACTCTCACTGAATCCTTGAAATCACTCTGAAAAGTAACTCTTCTGTACCCATTTTATAGATAGGAAACTGAGGCCTAGAACAATTATATAAGTTGACTTGATCAAACATTTGGTAAGTTCAGCTTTGCATAAAGTGAAACCTATTTTGTAATGGGGCATTTTTAATAAGGTCGTTTGACAGGCAATATGAGGGGTCCACTGCCTTAATATAAAACTTGGCTCCTGTATGTGTTGATGCTCCCCTATAAAATATTGACTGTCTGATGAACTGGTACATATTTCATTATGTTACTGCAACACATGGGGCCAGGAGAGAATGAGTCATAAGAAGTAGCTTTGAAATAGTAATATTAGTGTGAGCATGAATAAGGCTTCAAAATAAACACGGAACTTGGTTTTCATATTATAGTTGTGTTTCATTTGTAATTTAATGGCTTTAAGTTATACATGATCCAAGGAAATTAATGGCCAGGAGGCATCATGTGCCTAACAAGTAGAAATTTATGGTTGGCTATATATGGGGTATTATGGGCATAGTTGGTATGGCATCAAATGTCGATGGGAGGAGGGTGTCCAGTGAAAGTTTTCCTTGGTAAAGCAGTGGTGTGCTTCAGCAGAGGCCTGACTACCATATTCTTACGTGGGAGGAGGGGAAGTATAATGGATGTTCTGTTTGGATGCAATGTAAAAGTTAGGTGTATGGGCCCACCAGTCAGTCTTCCCTGGATTCACATTGTCATTCTATCACTGATAAATTGTGTGGCCAGGATTTATCTTTCTTAAACCTCGGGATTGTAGGGCACCTGGGTGACTCTGTGCATTAATTGCCTGACTTCGGCTCTGCTCATGATCTCAAAGTTCGTGAGATTGAGCTATGTATCGGGCTCTGTGCTGACAGCTCAGAGCCTGGAGCCTGCTTCGGATTCTGTGTCTCCTTCTCTCTCTCTGTCCCTCCCCAACTCACACTCTGTCTCTCAAAAAATAAATGAACATTAAAAAAAAAAAAACCCAAACACCTCAGGATTGTTGTGAAATTAAAACCAATTAGTGCACGTAAAGGCCTTTGGCTCAGTGCCTGAGATATAATAAGTGCTTAATAAATGTTACCCATCACTGTTATCATTTTCATTATCATTATTGTTTGGTATTGACTTCTCCTTCCTTCTGACTTAGAGTCGATATGGCAGATCACTCTTACCCACTTACTTCATTGGTTAAGCTGGGCTTGGCATCAGCTCAAAACAACTCAGACTTCTATGGAACAATCTACTATATATGTATATGTATATGTATATGTATATGTATATGTATATGTATATGTATATGTATATCTATATCTATATCTATCTATATATCTATATCTAGGAAGACCTTATTTCTGCGGTTGGGTTCTATAATCATACTGAAGGTATTCTGTGTGAGTCAGGACTAGGTTAGCTTCCGGTAACAGAGACCCCTAATAACAATGGCTCAAACAGAAGTTTGGTTCTGTCTCACATAAAGGAATCTAGAGGTAGGCAATGCAAGGTTGGTGTGGCGGCTTCAAACCTTTAGGCACTCAGTATCTTTGTCTCTCCCTGTTAGGCCATACTTAGATGCGTGTTCAAGTTCCAGCCATCATGTTTCTGTTCTAGCCAAAATAAAGGAAGAAGAACAAGGGCATGTATCCTCCCTTTAAGGACATTGTGCATAATTACATGCAGCTCTCCTCTTACATCTCATTGGCTGGTTTTTAGTTACATGGCACTTCTAGCTGCAAGAAAACTGAGAAATGAAGTCTTCATTTCAGGCATCCAGGTGCTCTGCTAAAATTCAAAAGTTTTCTTTTGAGTAAAAGTTTTCTATCAACTGTGGAAAGAAGGGAAAACAAGCAGACGACAAGCAGTTTCTGTGACATATTTATTTGTGGTTTTCTCAGGCTGCCTGAACTCATGTTCATGAAGTTGACTAACAAATGCCAGCCTTTTTTGGCGGAAGAAAAAAAAAAAAGAAAAAAAATTTTTTTTAGAAAGTATAGGTAATGTAGAAAAAAGGATTACACAACTTGATTTTCTACTTTAAAAAAGCTTAATGGTTTTCACTCTTAGCCAGTTGAGTTTATTCTATTCCAAGGGGCCTGTGTCTTTTGTGTTTGCATATGAGTAGCTACCAAGAACTTCCAGAGAAGCCCAGCACATTCTCCTGTTTATAATTACTGCCTCTGCTATTCCCAAAGGCCCTGAGTACTCTCAAGGTCTTAGTTTGACATTTTTATTTCTTCATATTTCACAGAGAATAGCACTAATTCATTTGTAAAAATCTTCTCGGTTCTTCTTCACAGTCCTCTAGTTTGTCGGAGGAGCAGAAGAGGACTTCGAGCTCCTGTACATCCTAGGGAACATAAAAAGAGGAGGACCGTGATAGTGCTAAAATTAGTAATCCTGAGGTCTCTCATTCATTCAACAGATGTGTTTTGAGTGCTGGATACTATGTGGATTATGGCAGCAAATAATGCAGGCAAACTCCTTGCCCTCCCTTATGCAGCTAGCATTCTAGTTTGGAGAGATGAGCAATTAATATTTAAATAAACAAGTAAATAATAAGATATTAAGTAGTGAGAAATACATTGTAACTATAAAATAGAGGTGCCTGGGTGCTCAGTCAGTTGAGCATCTGAACTCTTGATTTTGGCACGGGTCATGATCTCACGGTGAGATAGACCCCCTTTGTCGGGCTCTCTGCTGAGTTTGGAGCCTGCTTGGGATTCTCTGTCTCTCTCTCTCTCTCTCTCTGTCCCTCTTCCCCTCTTGCATGTACTTTCTCTTTCTCACTCTCTCTCTAAAATTAAAAAAAAAAAAGATACTACTCCACATCCATTAGGATGGCTATTATAAAAAAATAGAAAATAGCAAGTCTTGTTGGCAAGATGTAGAGAAATTGGAACCTTTGTGCATTGGTGGTGGGAATGTAAAATGATGCAGCTGCTGTGGAAAACAGTATGGCACTTTCTCAAAAAATTAAACCTAAAAAAAAGCAGAATGAAATCTATAAATACAGAGAACACACTGATGGTTGCCAGAGGGGAGGTGGGTGGAGGGATGGGCAAAATGGGTGAAGGCGAGTGGGGGATACAAGCTTCCAGTTATGGAATACATAAGTCATGGGGATGAAAGGTACCACATGGGGAATACAGTCAGTGGTACTGTAATAACGTTGTATGGTGACAGATGGTAGCTATACTTGTGAGCACAGCATAGGGTGTAGAGTTGTCCAGTCACTATGTTGTACACTTGAAACTAATGTAACATTTGGGTGTCATTGACACTTCCATAAAAAAGAAAAACAAACATAGAATTATCATATTATCTAGCAATTCCATTTCTGGGTATATACCCCAAAGAAGTGCAAGCAGGGACTTGAGCAGATACCTATATATCCATGTTCATGGCAGCATTATTCGCAGTAGCCAAAAGGTGGGAGTAACCCAAGTATCTATCCACAGATGAACAAATAAGTAAAATGTGGTGTAGACATACAAAGGAACACTATTCAACCTTAAAAAGGGAATTCTGACACATGCCACAATATGGATGAACCTTGAAGACATTGTGCTAAGTTAAGTAAACATCACAAAAGAACAAATAGTGCATGATTCTGTTTATATGAGGTATCTAGAGTAGTCAAATTCATAGAGTCAGAATGGTGGTTCTCAGGGGCTGCTGGGTGGGGAGTTAATGTTTAATGGATACAGAGTTTCACTTAGGGAAGATGAAAAAGTTTTGGAGATGGATGGTGGTGGCGATGGTTGCGCAACAATGAAAGGTCATTCTGGCTGCTGTATAGAATGAGTTGTAGGGAGTTAAGAATGGAACAGGGAGACCAGTTAGGAAGCTAATGTGGCAT